TAAAATATTTTATGAGCATTTAAGCGACTCAGTTTTAATGAGGAGGAGGGTTTGTCCTCGCCGAGTCCGGTTTTGGTCCTTTTGAATTCCTGCGGTGTACTTTCCCCCGGCTTCAAACAAATTAGCCAAGCAATTTGTTAACTCGGTATTTTGTTACGGTGTGCTTCATATTTCGTGATTTTTATCGCCTCAATTAAATGGAGTTCCTCATGAGTTGACGCGTGTTATAACGTAGCAGGGACGAGTTCCAAACTTTGCGTGAACATTGAAAGTTGACAGAGGGGTAAGTTTAAGTGACGATCTCACCGGATGGTACCCGGAAATATTTCCCATGGTTAGTTAATAGGAAACTACTGAGAATGTAATTAACAACACATCATAGTTGTAAAGAACTGAAATTTGTCAAAACATGATCAACTCTTTAAAAAATTGTCGACTAGGTTAGTTTCAAACACTGAGGAGATGCACAGGCGTCATTTCTAACTCTACGAATGTTCCAATAAACATTATGACTTCTCCCGTGCATGTTCACACGTAACCGCTTATTCAAATGGGGATTTTATTATCAGTCCCCATTCCATTTTAGGCTTTAGGCGTTGCACATAAAGTTGAAGTATATTGTTTTAAAAGCGTTATCGTCGGACTTTAAACGCGCTAACAATAAATGCTCATGCGGATTCTTGAGCTCGAACAAAACTTTTTACAACTACCTAAGTTCTTTAATATACAATAAACAAATCAACTTAAAATTAATGCGACTTTGTTGAAATCTAGATAAGAGCGATATGTGACACTGTCGAACAGTTGCTGCACTACTACTCCAAATTGGATACCACAATAATATTAACGAGCAAACAGTAAGATTTATATAAAAAAATACATATTATAAAATACAAACGAATAAAGTACAAGTAATTAGCGACAAATGGAGCACAGGAAGTTTGCCAACAAAGCAAAGTTACTGCTTTAATTCAATAAGGAATCAAAATATACAGAGCAAGCTGGTAATCATAATTAAGTAGGTACGTTAAAATTATGAGCCATATTAAAAGATACAGGGCTCACAGTTCAGATATAATATACCTACCTACTCGTATATGTAACATTGTTCATTGAGCGTTCAAGCAGCTTCACATATCAGATACGGGTTGTTTATATTGTTTTGTTTGCAGAATTTACATAGTCAATAGATCTATTGTTATGTTTATACTCACAAAATGTAATCCTAGATTTTGGAATAACGACACGGCTTTCCTTTCAGCGGGTGTGTTCTACAATAACGCGGTTCCGGTACAGCTTATCTTTCCAGTCACGCGCCAAATACAGTTATCCAAATTTTAATTTTCTTTGAGCACTCAAAACTAGCTTAATGAACGTATCCACAACAGGGTACCTACCTATAATTCACACGGCGTGTACTGAATCCAATAATTCCCCTTTGAATATTTTATGGCTCATCCAGCAAAAAAGCTAATCCGCTGAATAATGGGTTATAGATATCAATGTTGGCGCAGGCATACCGGAAAAATATGCCAATTGTTTGCGGGCGTATGAGCTGACCGCATTAATAACGACATTTAAATGATAATACTGGGCTTTATTGGCGTCGAATTGCTCTTTGAGCCCTTTGAGCTCCATCACATAAGATTGGCAAAACTAAAAAGTTGAAAAGATTGTGTTTACCATAAATTGAAATTGGCATGCATCCCATACGTTGTGTATTTGATGGAATGGAAAACAAAGAATTTTTCTATTTCTTGCAGATACTAGTGGGTATTCGCGACATTATCTGCAAAGAAATATGTTTCCCATACAAACTTTCTCTTATTAATCCCTTTCAAATTTGAATTTGCAATAAAATTTCTCTAAGGTCGGTGCAATAAGAAAAATTATCAAAATTATAAAACGGTTTTTTATGTTAAAAGGCTGACAAACAAACATATGGCCAGCCTGATGGTAAGCACCATATCCTACAGACGCTTGTGGCACCAAAGCTATCATTTGCGCCACCAAAGCTTTCACCCGCGCCGTTGGTTATCCAGACTCAATCCCCTAACCCGTGGAGCCCGGGAACCTTATTCACCGACAGGAACACAACACCACGAAAATGAAGTGTTATTTTACCGTGGACATTATCTTATGTAAGGTGAAGGTTATTTTCCACGTTACACGGCTACTCTAATTCGAGCTGAATGTCCGCTATGGCCTCCTGGCTGTCGGTATACTATGCTAGGTTTGGACTCAAAAGAGTCACAACCGAACAGACATAACTTTTTTAGGGTTCCGTAGTCCTGACCAGGAATTCTTATAGTTTCGTCATGTCCGTCTTTCTGTCCCCGGTTTTGCTTGGAGACTGATAACTCTAGAGAGCTGTAATTTTGTGAAGATATGTATGTCAATCATGCCGACAAAATGGAAGAATAAAATGTTGAAATATTTTTTGGGTTGTTTTTCTTTTTATCGTCTATTCCATCGTGCGGGGTATCGTTGAATAGGTCCTTTAAAATTAATTAGGGGTTTCTAGAACTATTTTTCGATTTATGGATCCATTTGCGAAATATTGAACTTTAAAGAACCCTCTTAAAGCTAAACTATTGGCTAGAAAAACCTGGAAGAATTCATAATAATAGTACCTAGTTTTCAGGAAGTTTTAAGAAAAATTTTAACGGTAAGATAGATTTGTTAGTTTAACAGTAATAGTCGTTCAACTTTGCTTAAAGAAAATTTCTTACCCATTAAAAATTCCTTATAAGAAAATTTTAATAGTGACATAGATGAACTTATTGTAGCGTAAAACCTCGCATGCTTAAACCAAATATAAAAAAAAAACAAAATAGTGTTTTTTAATTTCCGATACAGACAATAAGGATTCCTGGGCAAATATAATGCGGTAACGACCGGCAACTACTAAACCCTACTCTGCGCGTGGCACGACACGCACTGGGCCGGTTTTTTATACAAGGCGTAGCATATTATTTCACTCCGCCGGAGTTCAGTTGCGAAGATAGCTCAATAGGCATAAAAATTAACCGCTCCAGCTATTTTCACCTCGCCAGCCTGAACCAAATCCCTACCCCGTCCGTTTGCTTTGGAACTTTAGGCCTATTGTTAACCGTGGTTTTTTACCGGGTCAGTGTGATATTCTTGCTTTTGCCTAGCGTCGTATCTATACGAAGGACAAGTATGTCGCACCGGCCTGGTGTCCGGTAAATAAACGGCCGCTAACAAGTCCTTACTTAGCTTCATAAACACAATACCATCAAAAAGGAACTTTACTGAGAAATTCTGTAAGCATAAGGTTAGGTCCATAGACGTGCGCTTTAATTCGAGCGGAAAAATCAGCTTTAACTATATTAAGCAAGTTTCTATCAAATTTATAACATGAGTACGGACTTATATGAATACCTTATATTGAAAGAAATTGTAATAATTGTAATTACTTTTAAGGAATATACTTAGGAGTGGAATTTTTATGGCAAAGTTTCAAGTTATTTCGGTAAGCCGCCAAGTTTAATTTCAAATTTCAAGTTTTGTTAAACCTATCAATTTTAAAAGTATTGAACCAAAATAAACGTCAATCAAATCCATGCACGTCTGTAGGGAAACCTTATTTTTTTTTTATCTTTATGGCTTTATTTGTTCTAAAATTGTTTCTCAGACATTGATGTTTATGAGCGAGGTAAACTTCTTTAATAAATTACTCAAGGGGCTTTAATTGTTGGAAGTTTAAGATTATATAAATTTATAGGATTGTTATTATGAAATATTCTTCATTGTGAATGAGTTTATAATCATCCAAATGATTTGACTCCTTAACTTTTAACATTTTGAAATGGTTATTTTTAATCCTTTAGAGGATTCTCAAATTTTTTTACTGAGTTAGTCTGTTTGTATCTTAAAACGTATATGTCGTAAATGTTGTAATAGTTATGTAATGTATAGTTAAGAGTACATGTTACTTAAAAAACATACCAAAATAGGCCCGCGGTCTCTGATCCTTTACAAATGTATCTTTCTAGAGGAAAACTATTGTTGTAGCCCGGCGCGGATCACAGCTAGATTTTTTCCGGAAAGCAATCAATGTTGAGTGAATGTGTTATTATTGAAGCGTAATTTTAAAAGTAAAATACGTCAAACGTTATTATTTATATATAGAAACGAACATTTGACGTTAATAAATTGACCTTTTATAAATATATTGTTTTAATTTTAACAGGCGTAGGAAATAACTTCATCCCACCTATATCAGGTAATAATTACATAAACACAATTGAATTATAACGTTAAATCAACATGCCTACTATTACATAATTGTCAATAATTGAGATGTTGTTTCTAAAAGTAAGAATAGTCTTTCTTCGATTACTTTTGAGAAATATTTTCCTAACGCTAATGAGACAAGATTTAGGAAATTGTCTTAAAATACCGTAAAATAAATGCATCGTTATTACCAACATCATTAAGCTGCTTATAACGGAGTCATAAGTAGAGACTTACTAAATCGTACTTATATGTGGAACGTTGCACAGCCACTCGGGGAGTGTTTACAAACTCTTGTACCTCGCGTCGTGAACTTTGCGTAAAATACATTCAAACTTACCATCTAAGCTCACCAGGCTACAATAACACTACAAAGGAAACGCATTACAGCTCGATTTATCTAAATGCACTGATGTCTCTAGTCTTAGAAGAAGTAAACTTTATGAAAGGCATAAAAGAAGCATTAAAATTAATTACTCTATCTTTGTCGGCGTTTCATTATTAATTTCCGCTTTCGAAAAGTCAGTTTACTTTCGGAACAAAAAATGTATTCATAGAAATATCTCCGATTGGTCTCTTGTTATTTTTATTTACTAAATAGTAAAATTTTCCTGAAAGAAGAAGTCAGGGAAATTTACTTTACGTACAAGTTTTCTACTTAAATGTTTGTGCGATTTATTTAAACCTTAAAATGCAAACATATTTATAAATCTGATTCTTTACTAATTATTTAAACTTACCATCGGAAGATGTGACAGCTTGTCTAACAATTAGCAGTAGCAAAACAACAATCGCCGTCTTCGATCGCGACACCAATCTGCGACCGTTCATGATTTTACAATATTGTTATTTTACCCCAGTGACATGATAACAAACTTTTGCCAAATATTAGAAATGTGTTGACATGATCGTCGATAAGGCAGCGGAGTTCGCTCATTCATCTACCCGATCGGAATAGGTGCGATTAAATATTCATCGAGCAGTTGTGAATCAAGCGGGTGTTCGAGATCGTGCGAGCGGTCGAGCGGTGAGCGATGCGAGCGAGCGTAGCGGTCGCTGCGTGCCCGTAGCGCGCCGGCTGCGTACTGGCCGCGCTCGCGGGTCGTCGCTTTGTTGCTGTCGGTGGCCGCGCGTGGCGCTTGCGTAGCCCCGCCTCGCGGATGAAAGGACGGCACATTACCAGTATTTGTAACAGTTTGCGTCAAATTGATATAAATGGAGACGGTTTTAATAAAGTGTAATTGACTTTTGCCGACTTTGCGTCGCATTAATTTCTACCACGTTAAGACACCCTAGGCAGGTGTGCCGCTAAATATCAGAAAGTTCGCCTTTTTGGGTATGAATAAAATTAAATTTTAAGAAATATCAATGCGGGGGATATTTTTAAATCTTTTTGTTTTATTTTAGATTACATGTCACATTCTTTTATTGTCGACATTTTAATTGTACCGACTTATCTATAATTTATTTTTCAGTACTTTTTTCACATGGATTTTTAAAAAAGTATCAAACTATGCCAACCCAACAACAATTTACACTATAAAAGTTTATTCTACACAACAATCGATTAACTATTAACAAGTTTAAATATAAATTCCTGATAATATGATTATTAATTATATTAAACTTTGCTCAGGCGAATAATTGTTTTGTAAACTGTTTGAACTCGTTTAATTGCTTTCATTCACTATGTAAATATTTTAAGAAAAACAGAACATCGAGTTATTGCTTTATTGGTATTATTTAATCAACTCGAGATGGGGCAAAACAAATAACAACTACGATATGGGATTATATGGGACGCAAATTGAGTGGATACGCTTGCTCCATGCCATTCAGGTGACAGGAGACGCAAATATTTAGCTCTCAATAAGAACTACATATTCGTACCGGCTGGTGTTGAGACTATAAGCCCATGGGCTCCAAGCCCTTTTTAAGGAAATTTCAAAGAGGCTCACCGAAGTGACTGGTGATCAAAAGACTGGCAGTTACCTTGGTCAACGGATCAGCCTTGCAATCCAACGTGGCAATGCTGTCAGCCTGTTGGGCACCATTTCTGATGACGGTGCTGGGCATATTTTTTTATTTTGTTAATTATTTATCTAAGTAGGTTAAGCTACAGATTTTTAGATAGTGTTACTTAAATGTCTCAAAATTATAAATATATATCACCACGATATTATTTTATTAAAATAAACAGTTAAATTAGCAAGCACAACCTTTAAGTTGCGTTTAAGTTGGTTGCGCTTAGAGAATTTGTTTCTTTATCTTTTTTTTAACACACGCCAATTAGCCTTGCCCCAAAGTAAGCACTGTAGGCTTATGTTATGGTATACTAAGGTAACGGACAGGATACATATGATACATATATAAGTATATTTATATAGAAATACATATTAATCAACCATGACTGGAGTATAAATGCTCGTAGTCATACGAACCCGGGACCTGTCGAGTAGGCGACACATTGAAACCCGGCGTCCAAACCACTCGACCACGGAGGTCGTCGGGAGGTTTAAAGTTGATAATAGTTGTATCTATTCTGACATGATTCTCTAAACCTAAACTTCAAATTGACAACAAGGTATCCTTGTCATTTTCTATAGAAAATGAAAAGGAGAGACTGATGTTAAATTTAGTTTTAAGCTTAGAGAATCATGCCGGAATCGACACCACTGGCAGATTCTTTGTGAAAGACAGAATGTCGCTCTGATAAGCATTAAATTAAATTGATGTCTGAGAGTGTGAACTTATGTGTGAGTTTTCACCTCAGCTAACTCCTTTATCGGATATGGGTATTTTTTTTAATGAAAAAAAAGATTGAGACCACAAACTTCACTGTAACCCTCACGTTAAAACACTTGCGGATAAACTTAGTTCTGCTACTTATGCAATTTATAAAATCAGACGGCTTACAGCATTCTACTATCACAGCATCATGTCATATGGCATTCTATTGTGGGGCACGGCCGCTGACATGGAAACAGTTTTTATTCTTCAAAAAATAAAAATAAATAGGTATAATGACTGTCGCCTCTCAATACATTTACAATTGTATATTGTTTGTGCGTCAGAACATATATTTATATACGAGGTGCGATGATGTACATAATTTCAATACCAGAAATAAAGATAAACTCAAATTGCCACCGTTGAGACTCCAAAAGGTTCTTGGTTCATTTGTGGGTCAAGGTGTATTTTACTATAATAAAATACCAAAAGAAATAATAAATTTACCTTTTAATAAGTTTAAAGTGTGTATAAAAACTTGTCTCCTTAAGAAAGGTTACTATACTGTTAAAGATTTCATAAATGATAAGGCAACTTGGGCTTAGACTATTATATAGTCTAAGTCGTTTTACTTTGCTTATTTGGTTGAAAATTGTTTAACCGCCGCTTCTAAATTTAAAAATAATACCTAGCTCTACTTAACTTATTGTTAATTAATACGATGAAAGTTGACAGCAACACATCTTTTCAGTTTTTGATGTCATCTTTCAATTGATGACACTGAATGGAACAAAACAGGGAGAAAAAAATAGCCCTTGCTGAGTTTCATGCCGGTTCTTCTCGGTACAAGGTCTCCCGCCGTCGATTTACGAACCGATGGCATAGCATTTGACAAGAGCTTGTAATAGCCTAGACTGAATAAATGAGTTTGAGTTTGAATGCTAAAAAGGTGGTATAAGGCCCGCCTTATGGTATAAGCGGCCACCATAGCCTCTTGCCGCCTGCGTTACCAAAAATATCTCTTGTCGTTGCCTACCCTCCTCCATCCCCTACGCCGTGGAGCCCTGGAACCTTAATTAATGATAAGCTTCTACACACTATACTGGTGACTGGGTTTTTGCCCACAAGCAATATTATTCCTACTGGATAAACTAATTTGACTACACAATTTCACCAAGAAACGGTTTTAACTACCACTTTTCACTGACGATGCGAATGTTTCACAAAATTATACTGTTACCCGGAATGTTACTGGACATGTCAATCATGCTGTGTTTTTCTTAAGTGTTTTATAGGCTGAAAATCTGATTTATTTCTAAACATTGTCAATTAAGATATTTTTACTTTAAAAGAAGAAATAGCGATAGTTGATTTTTTTTATTTACTGTTAGTGTGATAGATTTTATGTCTTATCTTTCTTAAAATAAGTTTATCTAATCAAAGAAGTGTTTACCACAATTTGAATACCTAATTAATATAACGAACAAAGGATTACGTTTATGAATTTTGATAGTTACCCAAGATATCAAGTTTGCTTTTGAATGAATTAACGTTATGTCAGTATTATTTCACTCTACTATATTGAATCAATAAGCGAGCTTTAGTTAATTATAATGATGTTGGTATGCGAAGACGCTCAGTGTATTCACACAACCTTTCAAAGGGCAACTGAGCGGTTTCCCTTTAAAGCTAAATTAGATTAGAGAACCATCCTACTAATATTATAAATGTGAAAGTTTGTAAGTTTAATGTGTTTCTAAGTTTATTACTCAATCACACTAAAATTGTTGAATGGATTCCGATGAAATAAGGTACACATATAGGTTGTTTATGATTTGGATTGAAACATAGCATTCTTTTTATCCCAAAAAAATGTGAGCTTCCTGAGGGTTTCTCAAAATACTAAAGTTAACACGGACGAAGTCGCGGGCGGCCGCTAGTTTGGAATAATTATTATTTCACTTGAAAAGTAGAAAATGTTTTGTCTCGTAGTTAATGTTAAAATAAATCTGTGGCTATAATCGGCTGGGTGGACAAAATTTTACCTTTCTATTAGAACTTCAGAAGATGTAGAAGTAAAGCAATAATTACGAAGTTCGGCAAAAGACAGGTTACCAATATGTTTAATGTTCAATCCTATTTTTATCTTTAGCATATTTTTTTCTATTAAATATTTGCAAACAACGAACAGAAGGCTTGCCTGATATTTTTTTTTTTTATATGAACATAAGAACAATATTTGGCAGGCTAGAAAAAGTTTTTTCTTGCTTACAGAGACATCAGGGATGATGACTATTTTTTTTTCTTCGTTTATCAGGTAGATTATCAAAAAGTATTGGACACGTATTTTTTCTTTTTTCACATAATATAAACATTGCAGATATATATTGATTTGAAAAGTCGCATGAAGTCACGTTTTGGTACACTTTTAAGTGAAAATTCACTATAAAGTGACGTCACGAGCCCCTACTCTCAAACTTTGACGCGCTATAACTTTGTCATTTTTTGGTTGATTGACCAAAGTAAAAATACGTGTCCATTATTTTTTGATCATCTAACTGACGGACTAAATAGAATTTCGTTTACTGTACCCCGTCATCACCCCTAATAATCATGGTTTTTTAATGGATTTGAGATGGATTTGAGAATGGATTTGAGTTGTAAGGGAATTCGGTTTCATATAAAACAGCTTCATGATTTGTTTTATCTATACTAATATTATAAAGAGGAAAGATTTGATTGTATTGAAAAGGCTCCGAATCTACTTGATTGATTTAAAAAAATCTTACATTATTACTGATGAACATGGGCTATAGAGTATTTTCAAAAAGTTAGGGTTCCGTATGAAAACTTCGATAACGTTACCTAGGGTGTAAAAAAAAAACAAAAATAACCTAATATCTATATGCCGGCTCAGTTCTGTTCCTGGGTAGCTGAATTCCTGCATGAGCGTAGAATTCGTATCCTTACGAATGGAAGTAGTTCATGGTTCATCACAGTGAATGCCATCGTTCCTCAGGGCTCCGTCCTATCCCCCACTCTCTTTCTGTTGCATATCAATGACTTAATTCCTCTTGGGAATATTCCATTCTAAGCAGACGATAGTACAATGCATGCGGGATATCTCAGACAAGCAGCGGCTGGACAGGCGGTAACCAGGAAGAAACGGGAGAATCTTTTCATTGAACTCAATCAGGCAATTGCTGCGACTTAAATCCAAAGAATTACATCGAAAGCGTGGTAAAAATGGCCTTACGCAAAATCAGAGTCATGAACAAGGTGCGGCGTTTTTTCACGCCCGGGCAACTATGCTTGTTGAATAAGACGTAGGTGCAGTCTTGCGTGG